ACTCATACATTCCCTTGGCCACAAGCTGTGTAGTATTTCCCCTTAACTCATTTTTCTCTACTTCACTTTACAAGTTGTATTGAAAGTTTGTGTATTTTTTTTTTTTTGCATTTTGACCAAAAATGTATTGATTTGTATGTGTGTTATATATTTTGCTTACATTTTTTTTGGCATTTGTATTGGAAACAGATGAATTCACTTCCATTGAATGACGAACACATTGATGGACATGCCCTGTAGCTGATGATGTTGCCATGGCTAAATCAAATCATGCTTCTGATATTCAAGATAGGCTAGAACTGGATGGTGTTGATAAACCAACAAATAAACATCAACTATGATTGATGATGATCATTGATTGAAGGTACATCGTTATTTTTAGTGTTTAATCTATTAGTTTGTGTTTGTCTTGTTTTTCTTTTTTGATTGAAGTATTTCTTCTTTTGATTAGGATCCATGAAGTGTCAAAGTTTTGTGTGGTGCCTTGCTGCAGGAGCAGCAACTGCTTATTTTGTTTTAGTTTCATGTAGCATGTCAATAGCAAGTTATCTTTTAGAATATGATCTCAAAAATGACTTGCTATTGCTTTTGCTTATTTGCTACTGCTTTTGTTTTATTATGCCAGTATATTTTGTATATTATATGAATGACTGATGTGGAACATGTGGTCTTAACATAATGGAAGTATATTAGTATAGTTCTTGTTTTTATTTTTGGGTTGAAACTTGAATGCGTTTTAGTTAAATAGGTGCAGAAAAAAATTTGAGATATTTGAGATGCAATAGGATTAGAGATCAGGATGAGAGATGCGATCGAAAATAAGGAATTAAAATTCTAATGCATGATTTTACATGTAAATTCTAATGCATGAATCCAACTGAAGGAGTATGCTCCAGCTGTAGGTAGAAAACTCTAGCAAAAGCAAAACAGACAGCAGGTGAGAAACAGTCCAGAGGAAGCAACTGAATAGAGTCCAACTGAAGCAGCTAAACAGGCAGTGTAGTTGAAGCAGACATCGCAAATAACGCAGTGCAGTTGACGTTTATCCTGACTTGCTATTGCTTTTGCTTATTTGCTACTGCTTTTGTTTTATTATGCCAGTATATTTTGTATATTATATGAATGACTGATGTGGAACATGTGGTCTTAACATAATGGAAGTATATTAGTATAGTTCTTGTTTTTATTTTTGGGTTGAAACTTGAATGCGTTTTAGTTAAATAGGTTAAATAGGTGCAGAAAAAAATTTGAGATATTTGAGATGCAATAGGATTAGAGATCAGGATGAGAGATGCGATCGAAAATAAGGAATTAAAATTCTAATGCATGATTTTACATGTAAATTCTAATGCATGAATCCAACTGAAGGAGTATGCTCCAGCTGTAGGTAGAAAACTCCAGCAAAAGCAAAACAGACAGCAGGTGAGAAACAGTCCAGAGGAAGCAACTGAATAGAGTCCAACTGAAGCAGCTAAACAGGCAGTGTAGTTGAAGCAGACATCGCAAATAACGCAGTGCAGTTGACGTTTATTGTTTACTGTTTCTTTTCCTTTTTTTTTTGGTGGGAATTTTAACCAATGGATTGTATGCAATCAGGTGAGATATCCACTAGGCTTGATAGTTCAACAATGCATCAAATTATTAATTATCTTAGGCACACAACTCATGCTCTTGATGGGACTACAGTCATTTCACTCTTGCAACCAAATCGAGATGTTTACCAATTTTGAGAACCAAAAATGTATCGTAGTTCTGGATGATCAGGGATGAATTGTGTAGGGTATGTGGGGGTGTAGGAGGCTGCTGCCTGTTGGTCTTGCTTAAGCATATTTGGAGCTAGAATGATTGTGCAAGCAATGAAAGTGGCTGTTTTTAGTGTTCATAGAAGAAATTTTTGATTTTTTTTTCTTTCATGTTTTGAAGGATTAAAGTCATTTAATTGGAAATGGATGTTAGGAATTGGTTTCTTTTTGCTTCTTGTAATTGTTTGAATTTTATTCAATAAAATCTTTTGATTTTTTTTTTAAAGTAGTTAAACAAATAGAATTTGATATGTGGCTTAAACAGGTCGGGTTAAACAATTTAACATGTCGTGTAATGTGTTAACTCAAAAATAACTTTTTTATTAAACGTGTTAAACATGTCAGGTTTGGGTAACACGTTTAATGGTTAGGTCAAGTTAGTGTTTAGGAATTTTTGACACAAATACGAAATGACTCAACCCGACACATTTGACACTCTTATTTCTATATGTATTGCAAATTTGTTATTTACTTTTGCAAAATAGTAGTTAAAACCAAAACAACAGATTTGATATGGTGCTAAAAAATATTAGAAATAAAGGATCCATGCTTTCTTGCAAACCTCTAATAAAATAATGCTACAAAATGTTCAAACCCTAACATTAGACACTCTATGTAGTGCCTTAACTGGACAACAGAGATGAACAAATAAGGATGATAGGATGTGGACTCCCTGCTTATTATTTACAACGACGGTAGTCTAGAGAGATGAGAGACAGGCGAGAGATGAGAGCTTTCACTTTGACACCCATGTGAAGGCTGCTCTGACATTGAAGGATAAGAGAATAGAACGCCTAGTTTTGATGATTGGGCCGACACAACAACACGATTAATTAAATGAATTGAGTTCAAATTGATTAATGTTTGACATAAATCTATAAATAATTTGATACGGCACAAATATGATCGAGATAACACCATTGTCACCCTTAGCAATATTGTTTATATTAACTGTCAAATCGATAGTTGACCTGCCTATGCATTTTCAAGACATTAAAAATGAAATCATCAATTTTACTTAGTAAACTTGAATTAAAATTGTTAGCCCGACATCCATTTTCAAATAATTGAACTCAAGAAAGCGTGTAATAGACTAGTGCGTGTCATCCTGATAGAGAGAGAGAGAGAAGGGTGACTCCTGCATCAGTTTTGAATATTATCCATGACATCAATTTAGCTATGAACTGAATGGTTCAAAGAAGTTCACACACACACACACGCATCCACATATTTGCATACATGTACACACACATTTATATATACATATATGTGTATATATATTTGTACGTGTGTGTTTAGGAGAACGACGACCTTTCGATTTAAAATTCTAGTAGCCTATATAATTGAGGATGTTTCAAGCTAATACTAATATAATAATAAAAAGGATTTTTTAAACTTTTAGATCACCCCAACCCGCTTTGATAAATAAGTTGATCAAGAATCCACTCTACAACATTATGTGTTGGTGCAGCCACCATCAGGATTAATTCTTGTAATTGTTTTGGGAATCAAAAATGTAACAAAAAAATTAATTGATTACCCTAAAAAACTCAAATACTTTCAACTTAGAAAAGATGAAATGCTCGTTCGCGGGTACGTGGAAAGAGATTTCATATTCTCATATTACAAGCAGAAAACTACTAGATTTTCTTGGGAAAAACTAACAAACAATGAAATTGCCACATTCTGATATCTTAAAGTCCAATCAATCCAAAATTATTGCACCCTCGTCAACCTACATTCAACCAATGAGAACATAATTTTAGGGTAGTTCAATAATTGAGTTGACTTTTCGTAATTTAAAAGTCTCAGATTCAATTCATTTCATATAATCCGTAAGAATTAGTTACTTTTACTTCCTTAAAGACATGTTCTAACTCAGTTCAAGTCATAGTAATCGGCCGTTAAATTTAAGAAATAGTCGGTGCAAGTATGGAGACTATGCGGAAAAAAAAACATAAAACCAATGAGAAGATCAACGCGTTTTGGACGAGTTCAAGGAAGCAGGTGGCTAAGTTGGTCAATGATTAGGAGGGCTCAATATAGAAGCAGTGAGACAAACCAATTTCCAAATTGCAAGGCAGTCAACTAGCTAGTAACCTTTAATTTCCAAAATTGCAAGTTTTATATATGTATTTTTTTTTGTTTTTTCAATCAATGGTTATTATTCATTCAAAACCAAATCAAGGGTTGTGATTCAATTTCGGCACGTACCGTTGTAGCCTTACCCAACAAGGAAGCAACTAACAATGACCTTTCATAGGCCTCATCTTTGGCATGCATGTCTTCACACCCTGGGCGTTGACTCAACCACCTGCCAATAACCTAAGTCTAGTTGACAAGGTCATTACTTTGAGGGGGCAATAATTCAAAAGTTAATTTTATTGGGATTCATTATCTATTTAATGGTAACGATCGATAGAATCTACAAATTGTATCAATTTTTAGAGTCTAAATAATATTTTCCTACTTTGGGTTGGGACCCCTTGAAGTGTATAATACACAATGAGAATCGTATAACTTAGAAACAACTATATAATTTGTATGAGACCGATTCAAACGAGACTTTGATGATATAATAGAATTTTAAGCATTTGATTCTCATTATGTAATTATGTTGATCAGAACTTCATCTTCTATAGTTCGACTCAACTTTCAAAGATAGGTTATCTACCACACAATAAGAATTGTGTGGTCAAAATTACACCGAATCATCTAGAATAACATGCACGAAATGTGTAGCAATGTTAATTTGAAATCATATTACGATTGATGTTAATTTAAAATGATTTGAGCTGTCCATTGAAGACCTCGTTGTCAATATAGCCCTTTGATCCATGCTCTTTCTCTCTCTTAAGACCTTAAAGAGTTTCACCCTTTCAAACCCTATACACCAAGAGGGTAAAAACTATAGAATTCAATGTCTTTCAAAGTTTAATGTCATTTCCTCTTAATTTGACAAAGTCTATTCACCTAATCTAATGACAAATTGTCACCACTGCAATTCATATTTATAATATAAAATATTAATTAACACGACTAATAAAAGTTGAATTTTCCACCCTCCAACTGCTACCTATAATGTAAGAAAAATAAGCCAACCCTATAAATATAACCATATATATATTTTTCAGCCTCTAAGCCTTCAATCATATACAATCAAACCCTTTGTCTCCTCCGGTAAACCACTGTACAAAAATGGTCCGTCCGGCGCCGATACACGCGGGTGATCCTTTCACTTCTCTACCACTAGCAATAGGTTTGTTGGTCTCGGTGTCAGCTCTGGTGGCTCTATGTGCCAAGCATGCAAAGCAAGCATCAAGAAAGTACGTGGCCGAGACAACAACTGATCGGAAAATCGCGCCAAGGTCGCCATTACGGTCTCCAAAGCAGCTCATAACCACCATCAGTAACAAGGCTATTCCGTTCATTAACCATAAAAAAGGCGGTGACGAAGAGTCCGGGGCTGAAATCAGAGACAAAGGTGAGGAAGAATTTGGAGAAGGTGGCTTGTGGCAGAAGGAAATTCTGATGGGTGAGAAGTGCCAGCCACCGGAGTTTTCCGGTGTGATTTACTACGATTGTTATGGTCATCGGATTTCTGAGCTACCACCAAGGTCACCGAGGGCTAGTCCCTTGCACAATTTTTCCTTTCCGGTTGTTGAAGGTGCTGACTGCTAAGTAGCTGGACTTTTTATGTACAAAAATGGGTTAATAAATGAAAAACTGCTTGTGAAACTCTTATAATTTTTTCTCAGCAATTGATGTGATTCCTATAAGTCTCTTAGTTCTCTTCCTCTGCTTTGTAACCTTGGATTCTAATTAGGAAGAATTTTGCACAAGAGTATGTGAAAAGACTACAGTTTGTCTGTTCGGGTCTGTTTTTCATCAAAGGTTCAAGTTCCGAAAACATTTCCCCATACGCGAAGAGTCGGGGCTGCATACAATTGACACATTCCAAACTCCACAATAAGAGAAACTTATGCAATGTATGCCTTTTTTTTTATCTATATGTTCTTGTTTGATCAGGTAGGTAGATTGGGAGGTTGGAATGAAATATGTTTGTGAAAATCTTTAAATTTTCTGTTATATTAATAACTATATGACTATTTTTTGGGCAAGTCTAAAAAAACTATTGAGAAGGGGGTATGATCAACCTCCAAGCTTTGATAAGGTTTGCTAATAATGCTCAAGGGAGCATCGTCACAACACCAATCAATTTGCCGATGAGTGAAATTATAAAATAAAAAATTAATAGTTAATCTAATGACCATCGTCCCTATTTTTGAAACTTAAGATCAAGCTTTGAACTTTATCTCACCTGGACTTTGAACTTCATGGTTTTCTTCCTGTATTAGTACTTGGTCCGAAAAAAATTGCAAAATAAAGCCGCAGGCTCAAATGGCTAAAAATAGGTCAATGGTGCCAACAAGGCTCCAGCAGATTTGTTTGTTAGCCGAGTCTGGCTGTGGCTCTTGGGATCATCAAAGTTGATTGTAAATCTGTCGAAGCTCTCTTGTGTTGTTGCTTTTATGAGTGGAAGCCTGCTCAAGGCCCATTTGATTGCTAGAGAGATGTGCCATCACCCACCTGTTTTTTCTTTATGATCTTAATATATATTCAATTGCACTAATTTTACACTGATTAAATTTTATAATCAAATTTAGAGTTCAAATGACATGAAAGTTGACATGAGCTTCTTTATTTTGGTGTTATATCATTTGAGCCTCAATAAAGACTTCAAATAATATCATATCATGTTATTTGAACTCTAAATTTGATTCCAAAATTTGATAACTCTAGCATTACTCGTTCATTTTAATTTTTTTTGACGAATCATTCGTTGTTAATGAGTTAATGACCCACTTGAATGTATGAATGGGAGATCTATAATTCAAAAGGTGACTCACGTGATAATAAAAACGAGTTGTAAACTTAGACATTCTGAATTCGAATCTTAACAATCTTTTAAAACCAAATTATAAGAGATTTATTCCTCATAAATATTCTTGTTTTAACGTGGATGATTTTGCCTTTAATTGGACTGGATAAGAGATTAATCTAAATACGCATAAACTGACTCAAACACTCTTGCCTATTAAATCAAAACATGAAAAAAAAAAAAAAAAAAAAAACATGATAGGTGATCTATCAAAAAAAAATATATCGAGGAAATCTCGTACCTTTCGTTGGGACACACACGCACACCCCTCCCCGCAGATACATAAATAGCTTATACACACCTCAAGTTAATTTGTCTGCACATAAATAGTTTAGGGCTAATCTTAACTTCCATCCTAAAAGATTGTTTAAATCTTAATTTATATTCTTAAAATTTAAAAATATTAATTTATACCCTAAAAGACATAAATTCGTATCATTGTGCACCTAAGATAACTACCATCCATTTTGCTATTAAAAAAGTTTGAACTAATTATAAATTGCACTCTTAAAATTTAAATAATTCATATTTATGATTCAAAAAAAATTTCTTCTATTTATGTTCGTTAAATAGCTCTCAATTGTATCATGTCATAATATTTTCGTATCATGTTCAAGTCAATAAAAAAAATATTTTAAAAAAATTATAAAATACCTATTTTTTGCTTATAATACTTATTAAATAGTTATTTTATGTCTATAGTTAGCCACGAACCTTTTGACTATTTGATCAAATTAAAGTTATATATAAATAACACAACTGTAGATAGAAAATAACTATTTAATGAATATTGTAGGCAAAAAAAATATGTATTTTTATAATTTTTAAAAAATATTAAGTAATATTATATAAATTGTCGTAAATATGAAAAATAAGATACAACACAATTGACTCAATACAAAAATATTTTGTATTAAAAATATTTTTTATCGACGAAAATGATATGACATGACACAAAATAACACGATTAGACATAATTGAGATGTATTTAAGAAGTATTAATAGATGAAATTCTTTTTTAATCATAAATGTAAAATATTTAAACTTTCAACGTATCATTTATAATTATACCAAATTTTTTTAACGACAAAATGAATGATAGTTAACCTCAGTATACATTGATACAAATTTATATCTTTTAAAGTATAAATTGATATTTTTAAATTTTAAGAATATAAATTAAGATTTGAGTGATCTTTCAAGATACAAATTGAGATTAGCTCAATAGTTTATTAGCGTACATAAATAGTTTATGAGTAAATAATAAAGGAGTTCCTAAACAAGATCTTGCACCTTTTCTATTTATCAAGTGTAAGAGTAATTTTAGAATTTTTAAAAAAGATCTTTGTGACATTATTCACTTTTTGTCTATCAAAACGGCAAAGGGGTGTAAATAAGTCTGCTAATTGCATCGGGTGAGGCGAGTTCATGTCCAGTTTTAGTGGGTTTGTGTCAAAAAATACTCAACTCGTTTACGAAATGAATGATTCAAATCCTCTAATTTCATATTGTGACAGATTATATTCTATTTTGACACCTCTTATCTAAGACTATTAATTAAATAGAGTTACTCGAGCTCGGCTGGGTTCGACTCAACAACAAAGCAAACTTGAATAATTTTTTAAACTCATTTGAAAAACAACAAACTTGACTTGGTTCGGCTCAACTCAACTCGTTTATGTGTAAATACTCAAATTCGGCTCGCTTTGACTTTGTTCAGACTTAACTTATTTTTTAAACGAATCAAATTTGAACAATTTTTTAAATTCAGATAAAAAAAAAAGTTTTTAGGCTAGGGTCGAGGTGTAAGTGAAGCACATATGTAGACTAATAAGGGACTGTAACAATATTTCAGATAACAGAGAGGGTGGACATGGAAATATCGAAAACTACAGAGGGTCTCTTGAGTAGAAATGCCTACCTACCTAGCCCAAGCACATCAACAATCTCTGATTAGACCACCCATAGTCTCTTCTCTCCTGGACTTCTCATCACGACCTAGCGTCCATCTTCTAACGAGGAATGGCTTCTTCGACATCGTCAGTCCTACCACCATTGTCGTCTTCTCTCTGGAAAAATCCAAATTTTTCTGAACTTTTAATTGTAAGGCCCACCAAAAGACCTACCAGAAGATCTCGAGCTCTGACAACGGCAGCGTCGCCGCAAATCGATGTGCCCTCAACTTCTCAGAGACCCACAAAGTTGGTGACGTTTCTTGGGAAAGGTGGTTCTGGAAAGACCACCTCAGCCATCTTCGCCGCCCATGTATTTACTTATTCATTCTTAATTATGTATATTTATTTGTCTTCAGCTTAATTTTGTATTTCATTGCACATTTGTGTGTGTGTGTGTGCATGCGCTCTGAGTAGTTGTTATTTGGGTTGTTAATGAACTTGTGTTTTCTTTAGGTCTATAGTACTGTAGAGATCACATTTTTCGATTGTTTGGTTTTTGCCAATTATGCGTGGAAGTAATGCTATAAATTTCCCCAAGGCATTCTTTGAACCAAGCACACTGATTGCTTTAGAATGTGAACATTTCTTTGATCAATTGTTTGAAGATCAGCTGAAAATTGTACCTTCAAAATCCTAGCCACCCCACCTAGTTTATTTGAAATGTTACATAATGAGATTCATTTTAAGCAGTAATCATAGTAAAATATAAAATCTGGAAGAACACCCTCAACATCCCATCCCCCCCCCCCCCAAAAAAAAAAAAAAAAAGCAACAACACACAAACAAACAAAAAAACATTTTTAGAGTGATTTCAAACAAGGAATACTTCAGGGCACCTTTGTAATTGCAAATTTACAACGTCTTGTATGAGACTTTCCAGGAGATTCAGAATTTAGATCCATGATCACGATAATGTAGCAATTTGGAGAATTTTCCTTTCTCCGATTTTGAATATATATGTGTGTGTGTGTGTGCGCGCGCTAATTAGGCGTGACACCATTAATAAACCATCTTAGAGTCTAGAATGTTGATATTGTAAGTAGTAAACATAAGGAGCCTGGGAGGCATGCTAATAATGAATGGCATCGTAGATTCAGCTAATATGTTTTGTTTACAATACCAAACTGTGCTTGCATAACACATGAATAAGCAAAAGAAACAAAATAAAAATAGAAAGGATTTATCTAATGTGTTCGCAGGTTGCATCATTGTTTAATACTTGCTTCTATTGCTACAAAATTACAAGCATGATACCCTAACCTATATGTTAATTGGTGCTCAGCATTATGCAATGGCCGGGCTTAAGACCTGCTTAGTGATACATTCTCAAGACCCTACAGCTGAATATCTTCTGAACTGTAGGATTGGAACGTCCCCTATCACATGCAGCAGCAACCTGTCAGTGGTTCGGTTGGAAACTACCCAAGTATATTCTTTCCTTCCTCTTCCCTGTTCTTTTTTTTCATATTCAGGTTTTGATTTGAATGGATTCTAACTTGACATGTTCTATTCTTAACAAATGCAGATGCTTCTTGAACCTCTCAATCGACTGAAGCAAGCAGATGCTCGTCTGAATATGACCCAGGGGGTTCTTGAAGGGGTGGGTATGTAACAATCTTTTTCTATTGTTTGGTGCATCATCATCCAGAATATGTGGATTTCCATGTTCTTTTGTGTGAAGGATGCTCATGCTTCTCTCTTCATAAATTAGTAGGTGGTGGGAGAAGAGCTTGGTGTGCTTCCTGGGATGGATTCCATATTTTCCATCTTAGCACTTGAGAGGCTTGTAGGATTCTTTGGGAATGTGACTCAGAGAAAAAACCAAAAAGACAAATTTGACATAGTTATATATGATGGTCTGAACACTGAAGAAACAATACGGATGATAGGTGCAAACAGCAAAGCAAGGTAGAAATCTCTCTCTCCTCTCCCTCCCCCTCCCCCCTGCCCCCGTATGGTAATTTGTATGTAATCACACATTGGCACACAGGTTGTACTTGAAATATCTACGGAAATTGGCTGAAAGGACTGATTTAGGGAGATTAGCTGGTCCTTCTCTCTTGAGACTTGTAGATGAAGCGATGAGCTTAACTGGTAGGGGGTCCCATCTCAATGGGAAAATGAGTGCAGAAATATGGGACTATTTGGAACAAACTCTGGAGGTATTCCGGCTCCTTTTTTCATTTGTCTGATGTTTATGCACTTAAATAAGATTCTGCATGGGTACGTATGCTGCAGAGAGGATCTTCTGTCTTGGCAGAACCACACAGGTTTGGCTGTTACGTTGTGATGGACCCAAACAGTCCTACCTCTTTGAGTTCTGCATTACGTTACTGGGGTTGTGCAATCCAAGCTGGTGCACAGGTTTCTGGAGCATTTTGTGTCACATCAAATTCTTTTGCAGAATCATTAGAGGAAGTCAAGAAGAATTTTTCACCATTGCCCTTTGCTTCCATACCACATATCTCAATGCATACCCCTCCAGACTGGAATGAGATCATACTGAACAATTTATTTCAAGGTGCTCAAGATCTTCTTACTTTCTCAACAGGCGACAACAGCAGTATCCCATGTACAGTTATGTTTGATCCAGCAAATAAATCAGTGACCCTTCTCATGCCAGGTTTTGACAAGTCGGAAATCAAGCTATATCAAGTATGGCTACTCCCTTTTACTTCTTTTCTCTGTAGTGAATCGATTTCACAAGGAGTAAAAACACGGGAATTCATTCCATGAGAATTCACTGCAGGAGAGATGGCCTGATTGTTTAACACTTCTTAAAGAGGAAAAGTAAAAATTAAGAAAGACATTTTTTGTTTTTGTCATCGTAAGATCATTCAGGATAAGTCTTCTTGTTAGTTACAAGGTTCTGCTGATCCACCGCAACTATCCTTTTTCCCTCACCTTTAATATCTTTTTTCCTCGGGAATGGCAGGGAGGTTGTACGCCATTAAAAATACTTTGTGGACATCCTTATGGAACTTACAGAAGTAGCACCTCTAGAGGGTTATCGTTTTCCATTTTTCCGCAGGAAATGGAAATGGCAGATGTAGTCATATCAGCACTGACTTAACCCTTCAGACAGCAAATAACTCTAATTATGGGTAGGACTAGTCATGTATAGTGTTAAATTGACAAATGATGTTTCAGTAGCTGTGATCTCAACTTGTTGACATTGTTATCTGCATCATTTTCTCTGATTTTATTGTCTTCTTATACTTGCATTATAATTATGATAAAATTAACAGGTTTCATGGTGCTTATTATTCCCCATTCTGAAAATTGCAGTACAGGGGAGGATCTGAGTTGTTGGTGGAAGCTGGGGATCAAAGACGCGTCATTTGTCTGCCATCTCAAATTCAAGGGAAGGTTGGAGGTGCCAAGTTTATAGACAGATGTCTTGTGATCACAATGCGATAAGAACATCCCATTCTTGCTTTAAATCTCTTTTGAGAGACTGAGAGAACCATAAATCATGTAATTTCGGCTGTTAAATATCTTTGATCATTGTATACTTTTGTTTTTAAGGAATTTTTCACATGGCAATTGCCAATATATATCTAGAGTGTATGATTACCAATATCTACTCTACCAATGTTATAAGAGGGGTCTTGAAAATTAATTTTGATGGGGCAAATTTTATTGAATCTGGCTGCTCAGGTGTCAGGGATGGTGATTAGGGATTGAAATGGTTCGTTTATAATGGGATATTGTCAAAGAATACTAGGATTACTTCAACCTGATCATATGGAGGCATTAGCGGCAAGTTGTGGTATTAAGATAGCAGTCTGGGTATGAAAAAGTGGTTCGACGATACTAATTTGGTTATTGATGCCCTTCAAAGAGGCATGACGAATTTGTCTGAAGTAGGCAAGTTTGTTGGTCAAGTCCTTTGCAAGTAGTTCTGTTGAGCTTTTCTTTTCATGGACCCGTAGAGAAGGTAATGCTATAGCGCACTGCCTAGGAAAGTATGCATAAAATTGTATGGAACCCCACATTTGAAGGATTGTCCTTTGTTCTTGACACCTCTCCTTCAACATGATGTAACCAATTCCAATCAATAAAATAATAACTACCATTTCTATCCCAAAAAAAATGTTAAGCGGGGTGCTTCAACATAATTTTCATTTTTTCTAATTAGACAAGGGCTGCGCGAATGCAGGCTCTTACTACCACAAATTATGATGTATGTTCCACCACTTGAATAGACCTTAGGCGGATGCCCCTCCAAAGGAGTAATGAAGGCCACCAACCTAGGACATGGGCCTTGCTGACCACCCAGTCTACATATGCCTCCCAAACTTCATGCTGATTCAGTTTCAAGCAGTACTTGGTGACATATGAACAAAACTTGTGGCTGATGGAACATTGAAAACATTAAAAATTAACTCTCCAAACTTGTTACCAAAACTATTTCACTTGCTAAATACTCTTACTAATGTTTATAGACCACTTTTTTCTTGACATAACGTAAGGCATATATGGTCTTTCTTATCAACATTTGCAAATCAACCATTGAATAACAGAAAAATAAGCAACACAACCAACTTCTTCAACTCCAATAGTATTTCTTGTTGCATTGTGATAAGCGTTTTGAATCGGCATGGATTACAACTCTTGTAATTACTCTCTATATATGTATTTTATCGCTTGAATTTAACTGTTGATTGTACAAGATCAATATGGATGGTGTTTTCCACCTCAACATGGTGAAGATAACGACACATAGGACTAAGAATTGGGCGTAAACAGGATAGGAAAACAAAAAACAGAAGTACAAAACCATCTCATGCTTCCATCTTATTGCCTTCGCCTGTCTGTGCATGGATACGACTCCTCAGTTCTTCAAAAGCCTTCATGCTCTCTGCATCAAAGCCTCCCGCAAACTGAAAAGAAGTAATAAGTTGTGAAAATTAAGACACTTGGTCAATCCGTTAGAAGGTTTGTACAAATATATTTTGGCAAACTGCTTTACCATTACAAGGTTTCTTCACAATTATAAAAGATAGTGCGAGCACAGAATCCTCATTCATAGTGAATGCTTTAAAGAGACAAGGATGTCGCCAAAGCACAATTTTAGTAGATTTTTTTTGTTTCCTCAGTCTCTTCCACGAATGCACATACACTAGAAACTAGCATTTGATAAACTGGTTGTCTAAGACCCCCAAATATTCCAGTTCGAGATGCCATAAATCAGTTAAAGATAGGACATACCTGATGAACTCGGAAAGCAAAACGCACGCCTTGGAGGACCAAAAATTCTCTGTTTGGTTCCTTCTCAGGCCCACTTAGCGCATCAAGTTCTGATGCGACACGTTTCATGTATTTTCGCGCCAACTGTACGGAGGAGAGCTTGATCTGCAAGTGAAAATGCTGAATGAGTGATAAGATGATATATAGAGACATCAAGGCACTTACCGCTTATACTAATTCCTCCTCCTAAATTGATCCTTTTTGTCTCTGATGGCCAACAAGGTTTTCTTAACATGCATGAGCCTTCCCTGAACATTTATGGTGGATGCTCTTCTAAAAGACTAAAAAGGTAGGGCTGATGAATTTGTTGGCATATTGACAGGAATATGGCTTAAATATGAGTATATGAAAAGAGTCCCCTTGTAATCGTTTTTTTTTTTTTTGGGAGGGGGGAGACTTGAACCCTTAACCTCAAAAAGCCAAAGTATTCACAAGACAAAGAATACCATTGGACTAAAGGCCCATAGGTCCTTGTAATCATATTAGCTTGCTTATTACTGACTGAATGCATGATACATAAACCAACCAACAATACATATTCAGATATCACAAACTTCCTTTCTTCTAGCTATGAGCCACACCTTGCCAACAACTCCTGAATCTTCCAACCAATCAACGGGAATGCCAAATTCTCTATATCGTGAAACTGCCATATCCCGAGTACGCAATAGTGCATACACACTCTGTTCCACTCTGAAAAAGGGAAGTTAAAACTTATCAATAACAGGTCAAGTTCACAGACAAGATTAATCATTACCACTCATGCAATGCCATAGGAAATACATACATCAACTCTCAACAGGAGTACAGAAGCCCAATGTGGTTTGACCTTTTAAGTATGTTTTCGTAAGTATCGAAATAGAGTCCTTTACCAAATCCATAATTCATTTTACTGCACCATATTAACTGATATAAGCAAACGTAAGGAGATTGGACTTACTTTTCAAGCAACTTGTACATTTTCTTTAAAGCAGCTTCACATGGGAGATTGGGATCATCAACGAAAGAGGTTACTTGCTTCTCCAGCTTCATCAAGTCCTGATATTCAAAGGCAGCCTCTCTTAATGCATCTGCTTTCCCTTCTGGCCAATCGAAGTGCTTGAGGACTGCTCGCTCATCAACCTTGTCAAACAAAGATTAAAGGGATAATTCATAGATGGGTCACAAAGTATATGATGCAGCAATGAAACTGGTCATTTCCACTCATTATATTAATTTCATGTTCCCGCAGTACTGAATTAAGCTGAGCTAAAACACGACTAGATCTCAATAAATGCATGTTTCTTTCCACTTGTTGGCAATGCTGAACAAAAAAAATAGCTAATCTAAGTGAACTGTAGCAGAGTAGACCTCAATAGTATGTAAAGGTTGTGGCAGGTGTACAACTATTGTGTTTCCCTAAACAGTTTATCCCCCAAGTAAAACCTTATCTTCAACCTAAAACCATGAAAGTATCTACTTTATAAATAGCACATTTCAAGCAATATAGGTACAAAACGCGTACCAAGAAGGAAAGTTCCTCATCAAGCCAGTTTACGAATGACAACAAATCTTCTATGTTGGTAAAAGAAGCTGCCCGGACTTCAGTTGCTAATGACTGGACAAAATCACCTTGAGTTTCCACATCAGCTTTCACCTGATTGCAGGCCATACAACAACCATCTTTTGTAGAATCACATTAAGTACCACAAATGCAATGTGCCTAGGGTAAAAAGAATAGAGTTTTACATACAGCTAAGAGGAATGATGATCTATTCTCTATCTCTCCAATCATGTTGCTCCTCACATCTGCTGTGTTGGAAGTTGAAGAAACCAAAGATGATGTATCTTTCTTCGCTTCACGCTTCATCAAAGATTGGTAGAATTCAACTAGTTCAGGAGCCCGGTGAACTTTATCACCACTCCCTGCCATTCTCGATAAGCTTCCTGGAGGAGGAGGTGGGCGAGGTGGTCCACCAGGTAGTGGTGGTGGAGGTGGAGCACCTGGCGGAGGAGGTGGCAGAGGTGGAGTGCCTGGTACCCTGCTAGAAGGATGTGTGTTTGTACCAGCAGGTGCACTTCCCGATGCTTTAGGAGGAGGTCTAGGGACCCTGGGAGGCCTCTTCTCAACATGGGCAAGCTTCATTTTGCTGACCATTTGAGAATCAGTCATCTGGCCATCATTGGGTTGCTCAGTTGAATTACCAGAGACAACGACTCTCTCCTTCACTTGAGCTAGTTTTGGGGGCAAAGTTACTGTTTTCCCTCTCTCTGGAGCGGAATTTGAACTGCCACCAAACCTTACTGCTCTGGCTTGCTCAGCTTTTTCCTTAATTTGCTTCTCTCTCTCTAATGCCAGCTTATGCCGGTCTTTATATGCAGGATATTTCTCATCTAGTGCTCCTTCAACTGATTTAGACATCAATTGGAACGATGCTGCCACTGTATTTAGAGAATCATTGGAAGAAACCCGTGTTCTAATGTGTGGGAGATTTGGTGTCTCAGGGGAATTAGGAGAATCCTGTTCTGCTGTCCCAAATGTAGTGATGGCTTCACTGTCTCCAGCGTTCCTTAGCATCAGAGCTTCCAAAGGGCCCCTTGGTCTTTGGCTCATGCTAGCCCTGGGGGAGCCTCCCGCAAAGGATCTTGCAGGTGATGAAATAGCACTCAAGTCATCTTTGCTTTTTCCCCATTTCTTTAATATTTGTATTAAGCTAGGCTTTTTACTGAGGTTACTATATCTACTGGTGGAGCTATCCACAGAAGCATTGTCGAAATCCTCACTTCCAGGAGAGGATGGTTGAGAAAAGTTGCTTTCAACATCTGTATCCGCTTGGCCACGTTCTGATCCTGCATATTCTAACATCAGCTGCTTAGCCCTTTCTTGGGATCTTGGGCTCAAACTCTTATTGAGATCGCGAGCTGATATTTTTCCTGATGGTGTCTGGTAGTTCCGGAGCTCATACCTCAAGCATGCATTGACCCAGCGAAGGTACACTAGCTCTTCAACTTCACTGAACCTGTTCATTTGAAGTCCTTCTACTTGTTTTAAAAGGTCTTCATTCGCATGCCTCAAATTATTCACCTCCTCTCTGGCATTGGCAACCATATCGCTCTGCAGCAGATGAAGCCAGACATGTTCAGATGAATCTAACCAATTACATGCACATTCACCAATTCGAACATGTTTGAATATTTGAATTATCACTGAAAATTAGATCTGGGGCCAAATGGGAGCAGCCTAATGGCAAAAAATTAGTGCCACCAAGCAAATTTTATTGCATCAAGGATGATGTCAAGAAACCATTGGTGTCATACCATGTTTGTTGAGAAACTTCTGTTCAGGTGCGATAGCAGAAACACAGTAATGAACAATGAAAATATTGATGGATCCTTAAAGATGCACGAATAAAATCTTTACATTCTTTCCCATTGTGTTGTTTTGCAAAATTTGTGTTTTTGAATGGGAGAGTGGGCTTGTGTGCGTGAACATGTGTGTGTGTGAGAGAGAGTGAGGAATTGGTGTGCAATGTAACCAGTATTGAGTGCTTGAGGTTGGCTGTAACTAAAATATGCGAGTGACCACCTGAAATTTTTACCTCTGTCATATTGGAGAGAGCGGTTACTCTGCCTTCAGCGGCATCCAGTTTGACAATCAACTCTCTCTTTTCATGCTGAAGCTCTTTGTTCTTCCGCTTAAGCTCCACAACCTCCACCTCTAAGTCCTTCAGAGCTTTAAACTTCTTCTCAACTTCGGTATCTTTCTTGAAGGCTTCCTCTTCTTTTGCCTGAAGACCACTAACTTGTTGCTTGAGCAATAATAGGTGGCCTTTTGTCTGGTTAGCCTCAAGTTGAATTTGCTTCTGCAGCTCCTTGATTTTATTCCTGGCTACCTCTAGGTCTCTCCTAGCAGAAGCTCCAAGAGCAACCTCTTCTTGAAGCTTTTTCCTATCAGCCTGCAAGGAATTGATGGTAATGTTCAGCATGTCAATCTCTGCTGCCCTTATCTTCAGTTGCCTTTGTAACTCATCAATGTCTGACTCTTGCTCTTTCAAACCATAGTACTCAAGCAATTCACCTTCAAGCTTCACTTCCCTCTCCTCCAACTCTTTTACTAAGTTACGCAGCCTTTCTAGTTCACTTGCATTATTTGCCATCTCAGTTTCATACAATTTGTTTTTCTCTGCCCTGGAATTGGTCCCTATATCATATTTGTCATTGGGTAATGGAAAATCTATCTCCCCGGACAAAAGGCTTTCAAACTCCGGTAAAATCTCATCTTCAATATCAAGAGGATTACTCGGAACCGGGTTTATGATACCACTAATCAATTTAACTTCTTCTTTCTCCTCTTCCTCCTCGCCCTGCAGTATATAGAACAACTTAATGTGTTTTCAAAAAGAAGAAAAGAATACAGACTTCCAGTGGTATCTATTGTACTCGAGGAAATAAATAAACATAGAAAATTCAAAATACCTATACAAATAGGTAGCCATAGAAATAAAAGAAATTTGATTCACGGTTACAACCACCTTGTTGAGGCCATCACTAGAAGAAGTGAGCTGCTCAGTAGCTTCCCCTTCAATCTGATGTTGTTCGATGAGTGCATCATCGTTTTCTGCTGTGCAAAATTCATTAAACAATGACATTAGTGTGCTTGAAGTCAGGCAAAATAACAAAAGACCAAGACTCAGTTAGAATCCAGATGAATCAATGGCTTAGCCATTGACACTTCTCTACAGCAAAGTTTCAACTGTAAAAAGTCTCAAGTAAATGGAAGTAACCTTGGATTTCTGTTAATGTAATACAAACAACAAGGAATTAAATGGATTATATTTACAATTCAAGAATAAAATACCTGAAGGTTTGATTAAAGAACCTGAAGACTTCGAGCCTTTGATGTTAATCTCTTTAACTGCATAGGCTGCAATTGAAGCAGCGACCAGGAAGCCTAACCTGAATATCATGTAGGTATTGTTGATGGAAAATACTGAACCTTCCACTCATCTACCAAGACAAACCAAAACTCAAACAGTCCTTCGCCCATTTCTTCCCACACCCATATCTCAAAATTCAAACCATCAGGCCACTTGAAATGCGAGGCAACTCATAATCTATAATTGCCCAAAAAAGCCTAACAAAAAATTCCTGGTGCAATCTTTAACAAACCCAAGTTAGGAATGTAGAAATAAATGCAGATTTAGCAACCATATCCAACCAGAAGCATTTCAGCATCATCGGCATTTAACATATTACCAGGTTTACAGACCTTTGAAAGGTATATTTTTGACAAATGTCGTGCTAAGAGCTACAGCAACCACCAGTATTTAGTGGCCAATCTTTCTCCAAAAGGATTGAAGTTCTACCAATGGATGGGTCTAACACGTAGTCTTTAGTTGAGAGAATAAACAGTTGAAGGACCAGTATACAGAACGAAAAAGACTACGGACACTGTAAATTGAGCAAAAAACCAGTGCCACCCAAAGTTTCTTCACTTCTTGCCCAAGGCCTATCTAGTTATGGAGACAGCAGGTAGTGAAAAAGAGGTTGACATATAATGTCTTGTCTCTAATGCAATCTACTAAACATATTTCTTGTCAGTTATCCAGCTAATGGTTGGTCTTTGTCCACTCATATCTACACCTTGTTTTCAACAAGACTCATATCAACTCCTAGATAGATCAAAATTAGAAGTCATAACTACCCATCAATCTTACTCATGTGCTAGTTAGTGTGACATGAAGAATGAGGACCCAGATGAAGAAAGTGCGTCCAATTCACAGGACAGATACAAAATAAAAGGCTTCTTTTCAGGTTGGCACAGAATTACAAGGTGGAAAGTAAATGATAGTTTGCCAAGGAAAGTTAGGGCATAGAATTAATTCCAGCCTTTGCTTAATGGATTGGAGCATTTGGAAGATGTTATCCAAGAGAAACCAGTGTAACCCAAACTTTTTGTGTGGTGAAAGAAGATTTGACCCTTTGCCCGCTTGATAGCCTTTTTGGCTTTTCTGTGGTCATGGGTTGTCCTCTAAATATTTTGGCTTTATTAGGTAGAGTAACAGTCCCTCTATATATGTGACAAAATTGTGGGAAGCTGCAAAACAAAATCACTCCAGGCATATCTTCAGCACAATATATTACAGAAAGTTTAAACATATATAAATTACAAATAAACTCAAATATTAATCGAACACTTCCTGGTCCGGGCTTGAATTCCTTGGCTGACCTGGCAAGGAAGGTCTAGATTGGTCATACATAGAGCCCACCCATCATGTGTTGGGTCATATAAGCCAAGAAATGTGTTGGTGTAAACTAGTCAAAGAGAGAAAAATGAAACAAAAACACAATAATTCCTTGTCTGGGTCATATATTCAGAGCCCCACTGCCTCCATAGCAGCCATAAGTGTTATCCCAAATGCCAGTGTTTCTGGGCCGGGGGATCCACAAATCTCTATGGTAAACTTTTCTTGTGAAAATTGAAAACCTTGTCCAAATTTATTGATAATTCGCCAGCAAAACCGAGGTGCGACCAGAATTTAAAAAATCATCCCAGTTGGTTTTTATCCGGATGATGCATCATAGGAAGGTAGAGTTTTTATTCATCTCAAAATCTTTGTGATATGAATCCAATCGTTGATCCAAAAGCCCCAAGACTTATGGCCTTGTGAAGGTTAGAGCTCGTAATATTCTACGACGCTCAAAGCCGACGCCTAGGACGGAATACTCTATCGATCCTAGCCAATAGCCTTTTCTATTTTGCAACTCCACTCACTTATCTGTATTCGATGCGATAGCACTATGCCCATACGTAATATTAAGAAATTTTAATCCAAACCTATACATAATATTAAAAAACTAGCAAACCGACGCGATGACACTATAGAACATAAAATTTGATCCTCTAAAAAATTTATCTTACTATATTAAATAAAATTTATTTTTATCTATTATTTTCTTAAAAATACTGAAAAACTTTTCTTAAAATACGTAATTCGATAAAAAATTTTCAATATGTGTATATTATCGTGTATGAATAATGTTTAAAATAAAAATTAATCAAATATTAAATAATTGAATATGTGATAGAAATAGTTGATTTGATAGTTTTAGGGAAAAAATGTGTAAGGATAAAATTCAACTTCCTATATGTTTTATAATATAAATTTTAATCCAGTCCATAGGTCGCCCCTTCCGTGAGGGTGCCTCCTATGAAATCAGATGACAGGATCCAGGGATCCCGTGATAACTCGACCGTCCTCCAAGTTGTATTGATTTTCTTCCAACACAGGTTGACAAGCTAATTTAAAGAAAAAGACTTCCTAGAATAATTTAAGGAGCAATGAATAATGTGGGTTTAGATACACAAAAGTAATATTGGTAAATCTCACAAGAGAGACTGCAGTAGCCTCTCTTGTTAGAAGAAGAGATGACTGATTTTGATTCGAGTTCCCTGGGTTTTTCCCCCATCGCACGATAATCATCAATCAAGATCATGAAAAGTTCATTAAAACTCAAATATATACGACACAGACACAAATGCAAGCATGGTGGGAGCATACCTGGCTGAGATTAGAGAAAGAGGCGAAAGTTCTTTGAGGGAATTGCGTAAGTGGGAAGCTGAGGACTAACTTTAACTGCGATTCAAGCTTGGAATCGGCACCTCAAGATTCGAACAGTATGTCAGGGAGATGAAGAGAAAGGTGCGTCTCAACTGTGAAATAACAAGAGATGGAAGCGCCAATTTGCTTCGGCGGGAATATCTTTTGAAGGCTGTATTTTCCTATAAAACAATAGCAATAACCGAAGAGACTGTACAATATAAAAAAATCGAACTAATTTTGTTATGTATATATTTTAAATAATAATTTAATTTTGTAATTACATAATTTAAAATTAAAAAAGATTTACGGCACCGAAAAAAAAATTTGGTAATGATACCATCTGTTTCTACTTTGTATGATAAAGTTACTATTTTGAACGAAAAAGTTATAACTCTTTAAAAGAGATTATGATAGATCACAGACACCTATAATCAATTATGAAAAATACGATATTGATCTCAATCTTTCACGATCGGTCATGTTTTTTGAAATTATAACTTACACCTTAAAATAGTTATAACTTAACCTTAAAGAATTATAATTTTCAATATCAATACCACCGGTGGTACCATAAAAGTTTCCTTAAAATTAAAATGAAAAGAGAAGTAGGTATACATTAATGGGATTGTTTGATACTAAGGAGTGTGTTTGATTCTGTTGTCTAATATTGGAGGTCGTATAGAGAAATTAATGTTTTTAGGCAGATGTATTTATTTTTTAATAATTTTTGTACCATTAGATCAATCTTGTCTGTTTTTATGCTTTTATAAATTTAAAATTCAACTTCTTAATTATAATATTAAATAAATAATACTATTTATAATTTACAAATATGGTAGCGAATTCCAATTAGTATTGAGGTTCACTATCAATATAATAATAGTGATTGATTAAATAACAAATTAAATCAATAAATTAGTTCCAAGTAAAATAAAAAAAAATTAGTATGGTCCATTCGAATTTAACTCGAAGCTAATTCAAGATATTTAATATTTTAACATATATTTTCAATATGCTGATTGGGTAGGATAAAAAATTAAAAATATTCCAGCCCCATCGAGAGTGAATTCGTGTCAAACTTGCATTGAACCCCAATTTAAAACAGGCTTCACCTTGAATTGTATAATTCAAGAATCAAATTCAACAATTTAAACAAGGTCCATTTTTCAGGTTGAAAAGTTCATATTGAATTCGGGTTCAAGTTGAACTCAATTTTCAATTGAGATAATGGGACATGAGTATTTTTTACAGAATTTATTTGATTTTAAGTATCATCTCTAAATTTATCTTCCTTTAAATCTTATTTTTTATTAAATAATTATCAATAAGTGCACATTTTTAAATTCTTTTTAAAAAGTATTCCATAATTACCCCTACCATAAATAGTGTATACCTAATTGACAATTTTTATATTTTTAATATCTAAATATTAGAATGTGAGACTTTCAAAAAAAAAATTTATATTTATGTTTCATTTGAATTTTAAAATTATATATATATATATATATATATATATATATATATATATATACGCACACGCACATATAAATATATATATATACACACACGCGTACACACACACACACATATATATAGTAATATTAAACAGTAACACGCTTAACAAAAAAATAGTAATATCAAACAATAACACGCTCAACAAAAAAATAGTCACATCAAACAATAACACACTCAATAAAAAAATAGTAACATCAAACAGTAACATATTCAATAAAAAACTTAATTTAAATTTAATCATTGCAATAGAGTGACATAATATGTGAATATTTATTCTGTTATGGGGGTGTCACTCTATTACAATGTTTAAATTTTTGTTAAACGTATTACTGTTGGATGCTACTATTTTTTTATTTAGCATGTTACTATTTTTTTTGTTGAACATTTTACAATTTTTTTTGTTGAATGTGTTACTATTTTTTTGTTGAACGTGTCATTGTTTAATGTTTACTATTTTTTATATTGAACGTGTTACTGTTTAATATATATATATATATATATATATATATATTTGAAGGTAAGAATTGAAGTCACAAAATCTTTAGAATTCAAAAAATTTAAGAAATATTTAATTTTGAAAATTGTCATTAATGACTCTTTAGTAATATTGATTCCCATTTTTTTTTTGCTACGAAATGTTTAAACTTGTGCCGACTGCTCTGTCGAACTCTGAAACCGATTTTGAGTATGACTTTATAAGCATTTTCCTTTTACATCACTCCACCCAAAATGGAGGGTGAAAGTTTTCCACTCATTTCTCAAGAAAAATGGAAAGAAATATGAAGTTCCAAATCCTCAGGAGCCTCAAACACCTTACAACAGGAAATCAATAGTGCCTTTACATACATAGGGAGGGAGCTCCAGTACACTGTCCATTCCTATGAGTTATGGCTTCTGGACACCTGAGAAAGATTGGCAATAAACAAGATGAAGAAACAATAAGTTATGATAATTTGCCACAAAATCTAGAAAAACATTCAAGCATGTGTCATATATTCAGGTCGATAGAAATTTTACAGTTTTATTTGCTTAAATGAAATTTATTCCGCATACATGGTTGGGCTGCCTACTTAAGTACACAGGAAGGTGCAAAAAAGGATCTCAGAAACAATCTAAACTTTGGACAAGAAAATGAAAAAAAAAAAAAAAGAAGAAGAAGAAATGATAGAAAATTGAGAGGAAAAAAAAAAAAAAAAGGACATCAGGACATCCGCAGCAAAATCTACAAAACATCTAGTTTACACAAGAATCGGTTAAGGATCTCAGATGTTACCCCGAGCAAGGTTTGTCTTTAAGCACCTTAATAAACGATCTCTACTTTCATAGGGGCCTTAAGATTACTTCTACCATTTCCACCTTCGTCCCACCTCCTCAAGAACCTTAGCACGGGCTTGGCTTTTCCTTGCTTCATCCTCGATCCAAGATCTGCACCGACAGACTCAATTATTGAAAACTATGTCCCAGACAGAGAGACTGAAATATCAAACGTTTTATTCCATCTTACAACTAATTTTAGTAATAATAAAGTATAACATCCACATTGCCTTGTCCCAAAGTCAAATTGAGGCTCACTCTCAACTGGTAAAATCAATTGTGATTCATGGGCCAACAAACACAGTTTTACTTCACTAAGCAAACCCAAGTATCACTCACACTGTCACACAACCACTTGGATACATTCAGGCAAGTTCATTTTTCAGAAACAGGGCATGAATGCTCAAAATAGGCTACTGCTACATCATCCCTACATCTTAAACAATTTTTTTTTTAACTTTCAGCACATCTCCAGTAACCCAGAACCTAGCAGTCTTAGTTTCAAAGCTACAAAGGGGAATTGTACGTTAATTTCTTTTTCCATAAAAGACAAAAGGAAAGAGAAACAAACCCAGGAAAAAGATGCAATTCCAATCATTACCTGAGTATTCGAAGAGCTTCTTTTTCAGCTTCCAGTATCGACTTTACATCAAGCATCCCTTCGTGCTTCACCTGCAAATCACTCAGTATACCCTGCAAATTGTGCTGCTCATCCAAATGTTTAGCTCTCTCGTATGCAAATCTCTCTGACATCTCATTGACTTCTTCCTCAAGGCTAGAAAGCAGCTGCTTCTGACAGTCAATGGCTGCCTTTTTCTTCAGAAATTCAGATAGAGTACTCTCTTGAACTATCTTCTCCTCTTCAAGATCGTGCACTGCTGCATTATAAGCCCCCTCCACCTCCAAACCACGGCCTTTTTCTTCTTCCATCTTTTTGTTCCAATAACTTTGAATGTCTCCTCTCGCTAGAAGTTCAGTGTGAATTTCATCCATAACAGTTTTCCTTAAAGAATTCTCAGCTTCTAATCTTGATAGTTCAGCATGAATTGCTTCCTTCATTCTCCCACTTGTCAGCGCCACTGCTGCTTGCGCCTTCGTGGAAGGTTTATTAGGTTGAAATCGCTTTGCCTGTCCTGTAAAATGAAATACAGCAGGTGTTATTTCCTATGGGATGGCATGAAGTGCACATACCATATGCGCCTTATTCAATAAACTCATTAAAACCTATCCTAATCGCCTTAAAAGCGAGCCAATTGTGCTTCCAAATACTACCAGGTTAACTCAACAAATTGGTACGTTCAAACAAGTAGTTCGAGACAAACATGCCACTAGGCACTGATTGCAGATCAGTAATGCAATAAGATGTATGCGCATGTGTTTGTGTGGCCACAAGTTTGTATGCACATGGGAGTGGGCAGATGGGTGAATCGTGCCTCTCTCTATCTCTCTCTCTCTCTCAAACAACGCACGCATGTGTGTGTGTGTTTGAGAGAGAGAGAGAGACCAAAAACTTTTCTGAGTATGCTCTTGTTGCCTGCCAGCATGTCCACAAAAAGTTCCTCTGACGCTTCTGAACTGATCTCCCTCATGTCCATAAAACCCACGTTGTTCCTAAATATCTGGACTGTAAACAAATCAGACAATAACAACGCAATAGAAAGAATAATGAAGTATCACTCATTTGTCTCTTTGAAGCATCACTCATTTGTCTCGTTGTTTTTTCTCTTTTCTTTGTGAAAATAAACAAACAACGCAAAGTTAAAAGTTTCTCCTACCTCTTCATTTATTCCAGGCAGGACATCATATGATTCATATTCCAGCTTGGCTTTCCACTTTATCAGATCCTGACGAGAAAGAAATCTGCAACAGCAAATGTGTCTCACCAAGTGAAAGGAAGTTATATTCTTTTTGCACTTGATAAATAACTTAAAAGAGGAAATTATTGAGAAATTAAAAAACTCAGTAGCATTCTAACAACTAACAAGTACCTCTCAGGAAAAAAATTGGCATCTTCTTGGCCTCTTAAGTCATCCAGACCAAAGTACTCATTTAAGAGCTTGCTACGAACAATGCCAGCTTCAGCCAGCGCTGAAATATAAAATTGAGGCAAAATATAAAACATCCGTTCTTTCCTCAAAGCCACCCTTAAAATAACAGGCGAACATTGGGATCAAATCTCACATTGAATGGAACCAAAATCAGGGTCTTCAACATTCACGTCGTCAAAAGCAGTAATTGTTGACCCAGCAAGTACCACAGATGGAGCTATCCGATGCTTTGGATTTCTGCAACCAATATAAAAAATTTCTGAGGAAGATCATAAAGTAGCATACCGTACATTCATTTTTTCACTTATTAAGACTTCCAAACCACCAGCAGGGATAAATTAAAACCTTTCCAGTTGTGAATTTGCCCGAACTAACCATCTTGCATATTCCCTCCTAGTACACAATTCATCTGCCTTGATATCATCTTCAATGATCTGTATACCTTAATTCCAATAGTGAAAACCATGCTTAGAACTGAAACCAAAGCAACATTCAACACAACTACTACTTCATTACAGATGTACAAATTAATCACAGATGATGAGTAGACCTTGATCCTGGAGTTTTTTTTTACCTATTTCGTTTTTCTTTTTTCTTTTTTTTTGGAGGGGGGAGGAAGTGTGTGTGTGTGTGTGTGGGTGTGTGCTTGTGTGAATGGAAAAAGTAGGAGCACATTTTTCGGGTTAGTTATTCCATGTGCAATTTAAGTACCGTTATTTACTAGATGAATAGACACTACATCAAAAGTTGGATGACGATATTGACATGAACAAAAAGGATTCTGTTGAATGTGGATCATGGGAAGAGGAAAAAAGCGCAATTACGGAAATTGCATGGAGCACAATTTGCAGGTTGTATAGCAAATGGAAGGATCAATTCAAGTCATTACTTATGTTTATTTTAGTTAAATAAAATACCCCCCCCCTTTTTTCTCTTTTTCCCAACACCCTTCACTAGTCTTCTGATTCTTTATTGATGATAATGTATGCCATCTAAGTCTTGTTAGGGCAACAAGAATGATGAGCAATGATGAGCATGGAACCAACTACTTATGGGAACAGGCACTGTATCAACAAGAAAAATTAATCTCTGTGGTGTGACATATGCTTCTAAAACCATACCTCGAGTTTCTTCAACATCACTATAGCTTCCTGTTGAATAGAATCCACAGCAGCTGGAATTATAATACGTCCAAGCTTTCTTTCTCCTCCCGTACTATGGTTTGTCTCTTGATAAAGCAAAATCAAAAAGATAAAGATAAAAATGATCTGTGTCAGTTATAGATCGTGCATGAGAGCTAGGCACCATCACCACAACTGTATCAACGAAAAAAAAGTTCCACAGATGGAAAACACTAACAACTAAGCTGAAAATATTATAAGTAAGAAACCCAAAGATGCACAAATTGACACTTTATTTTCTCAAATGATATAATGATAGAGATCAACCCCTTACTGCCTATGTTTGGTCAGGATGGGTCCTACCAATGGACCAATGGGACAAAAGCCACTGTCACATGATTCAAATTCCTTTTGAGCCAGACAATCAAAATTTTGAAACTAGGGTGTTTGCATAAAATAACATTAACTGTACTCTAGGGATTTGGTGGCCAGGTTAATGGAGTGTTTTGTTGTGGATTGTGTTTAGCCCTTTTCTTGGTCAAAATTAGTTAAGTCTGAATTAATTAGAAAGTGCAATGTCTAGTAGGAGTTTCCAAATTATGCGGTTGAAACCCCCCCAGGTGAATTAGAGCTGACAGGCCTGCCCTCTCTCCTTGGAGATTCTGTCTGTGTTCCATAGAGGGAGGGGCATGAGTAATGCTATAATTATTCGTTCTCTTCTCTTTCAAAAGACCTAAAAAGACAGTAGAAAGTTTTATAATGTAACATGCTACCACACAGGTATGTTAATACAGAGACAATTGAATGTATGTATTGATTAACAAAATTTCCTGAAGAATTTTGCTCTCTCTAATGGTAAGATTCCATTAAAATTATTCTAGGTGAGAGCCCAAGATTTGTTACTGTCTTGGCAGGCCTTAGTAAGACTCCAAGATTTACTGTCTTCTTTTTCCTCGTTTATTTAATTACAGCAATGGTGACTAATAGACATAATCATCTTTTCTACCAGACAATTCTTAGACAAAAACTAAGTCATTAATCATACAACCCTAGCCCTTACTACCCAACTTTCTAGCCTTCAATCCTTGATTCTCAACATGTTGCATAGAAATCCTCCTACCTCCGATCATCTCCCTCACACCAAAATCATCCTTAAACCACAATCAAAACAAGCCTAGGCCCAACATAAACCCTAACTACACCTTCCAAATTGCAAACCTATAACTTAAAGGCCTCGTGCACCATTTTCCAATTGAACAACACCCCTAATTCCCTTGCTTAACGCACCCCTGCTGCATCACATAATTTACTTCATAACATCCCGACGTTCTCAATAACTTCCGAAAGAGCATCACCCAGAGCACTTGGAAGATCACTTTTAAGTTGTGTATTTATAGTTCAAAACTTAGAACAATATTCCTCAAAATTCACAAAATAAGTTGAACCGTGTTATTTACCGAAAAAAGTCGAAATCTAGTTTGCAAGTGCTCCAATAACTAAAATTTCTACAAAACTCAATTCTCTTCAAATGAAAAAGGTTGGCAAACAAATCAGCTTCAGACATATTATCAACTAAGACCAATTATAAAAGTTGCATTTAAGCAATTCAATTTATATGACATGCAACTTATATAAAACAAGAAGACAACTCTAGTAATTCATATGTTGACAACAAAAATTGAATTTCAGTTAATTACTTTAGGAGGTAAAGGAGGACTATGAGGAAGGATGGGCAATCCATAGAATTGAACTACGCTAGTCCCTTGTGTGTTTTACATTATGCTTGCATTTCCTATCAAACTTGATTGAATTCCTATCTTATTTCTATGAATAGATTATGATCATTTCCAGAGTTCAAAAAATACCAATTTTACTTAAATTCTTAGCAGTTATGCCGAGTACCCTCCAAAATACAATATTAAATTACGTGACCAGATAGGATAAGCATAAATTTACTGTAACATTCCAAAAATGGGACTACAATCCGAAATTGATCAATGTGATGATACCTGATGCCATGGTATCGTTAACCGCATCAAACATTGTCTCCACACTTTCTTCAGAAACCATTTTATCTCCAAGTGATGCTTCAGATTCAACAGTTCCACTTTCAATACCTTTATCTCTTCCAGATGGCCTTAAAATCCCATGCAAAGAGTGCAATGGACTCCTAAACAAAAACCCTACACCTGAAAAACAAAAATTCGTTATACTTTTGCTTAACATAACTGCATCCAATTGATACAAAAAAACCCCACTACTTATCCGCACAATTAACAATCCAAAAACTCAGAAAATAACACACTCAATAACTAAATTCTCAAGTAATTGACCTTTTCTTGATAGTGAAAAATGAGCAATGACACCAAGTAAAGCAGCAATGGAAGTCCCAAAACCCACCAACACAAATGTAGGCAAACCTGCACAAACCCAACTCACTAGTATAGCTCTTTCCAGGAAAAAAAAACATATAATTCACATTAGTTACATTGAACAAGTATCCTAGGTGCTCATACAAAGTCCAAAGACCGAACCTTTCTTCTTCTTTTCAATGGGGGTTTCAATAATTGCCCACCCGTTGTAGTCGTCACTGACATTTTTATCCGGAGATACCCACGAAACCAAGAGATTCTTCTCCGCAATGGAAGCAGATAGAAATAACTGTCTAGGTTTTCTGGGTCTGATTAGAAATGGGTCGGATGAAATAGGGGTTGAGGCACTAAAACGGTGGTATAGAGAGCGAGTGTTGGTAGGAGCCAAGAGAGACGAGTGCGATGATGCGTAATAGAACATTTTTGGGTAATTGCTCCCAGAGAAAATTAGGGTTAGAGTTGAGAGAGAGAGAGATAGAGAAGGGGGGGGGGGGGGGGGGGGGTTGGAAGCTTAGCTTTTGGAGGCTTTCTTCATAAACGAAGCGTAAACTATTCCTTTTTTTTTTTTTTTATACGCTTACCTCAAATTAGAGGAATGTTATACGAATTTGAAAAATAGACTTAAAATTAAAAATAGATCATTAATGTCGGATATATCTCTCAAAAGGGTGGACAACATTCGAATCAGGATGCCTTAATAGTTTATAATTCAAATTTCAAAAGATAAATAAAATGACCCTAATAGTTTATAATTCAAATTTTAAAAATAAATAAAATGACTTTTATTATTCGCAGTTGAGATCGTTTTAAATTTTACTTTAAAGTTAATCTAACAATTAATATTAACACCCTAAATTTAATAGAAAAAATAGGTTCTTAAAAGTGTGTTTGAGATGATTTTTAAAAGTATTTTTAATACTTATAATTTATCATAGATACTTTAAAAAAAAAAATATTTGGAACTGCCCACTACCATCACTACCACCATCACTCTCATCGCCCCACCACCCCACATCACCATCACCACTACCACTCCTGTCCCTTACTACCATCATCGTTGTCGTCACCATACCACTCCTTATCATCACCATTGTTGCCACCCTACAACCACCTGATCACCACCATCCTCATTACACCCACCACCCGCTGTCACCACCACCATTATCACCCCACAACACCATCACCATTACCACCACTGCCCCACCATCACCACTACTATTACCACTACCACTACTATCATTGCCCCACCACCATCACCACCACTACCACTATCATCATCGCCCCACAACCATTATCCCCACTATCCCAACCATCGCTACTGCACCCAATCATCATCACCATCGCTATCGCACCTTATCATCATCATCACTATACTACCATCACCCTTATCACCCCCATAACCCCACAATCCCCCCACGACCATCACAACTACCACCATCATTGTCAACCCACCACCATCACCCCTACCACCGCCACTACCCCACTTACACCCCCATCCTACCTTTACTGCCCCATTGCCACCATCGTCATCCACCACTAATTGATATCATTGTCATCCATTGCCACCACCCATTACCCACCACTATCATTATTTTATTTTTATATTTATTATCATTACCGCCATCATCTCATTACTACCGTCGTCCACAGTCAGCACTAACCCTACTATTTTTTTCCACTATCACCTTCCATCACCATTCGTCATTTCCCACCACTACAACCACTCACTGTCACCTACCCCCACCACACTTACCACCACGGTCATTTGCCACCACCCATCATATTGTCACCTATAAGCACCCATCGTCACCCACCATCACCATCATCACCGCCCACCACCACCACCATTGTCACTCACGACTGCCACCACCACTACAGTTGTCACCACTCACCACAAATCATCACTGTCTCCCCCCCCCCCATCAATATTGTTGCCCACCACCATTAATACCACTCACCTCCATTGCAATTGGAACTTAAATTTTTTTATTTTTATTTTATGTTTATGATTTGATTTTGAGTGTGAATACAAATATGTTTAATTGTTGACTATTTTTTTATTACTCTGTGCCTTCAGGCATGGGGAATAACTAATTATTTAATATATTACATTTGTTCCCCCTAAATTTTAAAAATTTAAATAATTGTACTAGTTTTTTTTTCTTTTTAGTATATTAGTAGTTCATTAGCCTTTTAAAACAAATGTTTTACTTTTGGATTGAGTAAATAGATGTAAATGTCGTGATCTATTTATATATTGGAAAAAAATATAATAATATAGAATGCTTCCTATCTTTTAAAAATAATTGTATAGTTATCATTTGTTATTTTTTCAATTTGTTTGTAGTCTATACCTAATAAAAACATGATTGAATACAAAAGCTACATGTTATAACCCAAAAACATTTTATGATATGTCAAATATGTAATTTCTCTATAAGATCGAAAATGATTTTAATAATATTTTGTTACTATATAAAAAATAATTTTACTATAGACTCTGTGATTTTACGCATTGGAAAAAAATTAGTGAGAAATCTAACTTATAATTAATTACTTATAAAAAATCTTAGAGATTTTAAAGAATATGTATTTCACTATAATACATGATTGTGTTACTGTTACAAATCTTAGCCTATTTTGTCATTCTTGCATTCATTTTTTTGGGTATCAACTAGTGAATTATTTTTAATTATATTCCCCCCCCCCCCCCAATCCTCATTCCTGGCTTTGCCCTTGCTTGAGCTATCATAGAGTTATAATCTGTAAACATAAAAGATTTTCTCATATTAAAATTTTGAATTATCTATTTTAGAAAGTATTTTCTAAATAAAGAATACCTTTAATAGGAAAAAATAAAAAACTCAATTTTTTAAAAAACTCCAATAAGCTTTCTATTTAATTAAAAATAGTATGTAACATGACCTAATAAATTTGCACGGTGTCTCAGACGCAGCAATCATAAGTTCAAAAGACGCATGATTTGCATAATTGTAGTTGTGAAAAAATTTAGAGACCAAACCAAATAGTGTAGAATTTAGTATTGTTCTAAAATTTATGTCACACACATACTGTAATGCCTTGAAAAGTGAACCACCCATTGCTCATTATTCTCTAAAAGGAAAGCATATAAATCACACTGTCAAATTGTACACCAAGATCCTTCAACTACATTAATATGTACAATAGAAAACCAACTGCAGAAATGCTTCTTCAATCTTCAGGCAAGACTCCAGTACAAACTCATACTTTCATGAGCCAACAAACACATGAAGTTAAGGAAAAACAGCACTCTTCATATTGCCCCAACATCAGTTTCTGCCACTAAATTGCTCAAGAACAAAGATGAACAAAGCTTGAGCCAAATCGGTGGAACTTGATCCCTGAAGACTTACAACATATCTTAGTAACGGATGCCTCGAGGTCGATGTCTTCAATCCTGTAACCTCTGTCCTATAATCTATCGTAATCTCTGTTTTTATTGACTTTTTCTCAACAGATCAAAGGAAAAAAAAAGAAGTAAGAATGATAATTATACTGAAATGTTTCAAATCAAGAAGACAAGGACTTGCCGTTGGAATACATCATCTTGGTTTGTGACATTTGGTACTTTGGGAGATAGCAGCTAATATTACAACACCACTGAGCAGAGCCAACCCGAGTCCTAAACCGTTGACAACATGGACTCTGTACCACGCTTCAACACACTACCCTCGATTGCAAGAAGGTCAATTTTCAAGAAGGCCTGTCTCGGCTGTCACCACTGCCAAACCATATGTGTAAAGACCAAGGAAAATGTGCCAAGGTAGTATCCGTACCCTTGCTGTTCGCACCTCCCCTCTGTGCCAAAAGCTTAAGAAA